TCCTGGTTTTCCAGTAAAAATTGTGACACGTTAGAAGACTCAAATCTTCTCAGATCCTCCTTCTACCTCTTGTCCATCATTATCCCAGATTAATGCCTGTGCCTTCTTTGTTCTGCAATGGCCTTTGCTGGTAGTTTTGAAAAAAAAAGTATTTTGCTGTACCACATGTTGAGAAATGCATGCCAGCAACCATCCTTCTCATTTAAATTACCACAGAGCAGTCACATCGCGCTGTTTTCTCTGGATCATTTGTGCAATGTCAGGTAAGGCAGGATGTGAATCAGCCATGACTCGGTTCAGAATTAGGACTCCAAAATCTTCTGGTTTCAATTTACTTCGGGAATTCGTAGGACTGACAGATAAAGGAACGTGAACCAAGAGAAATTTAATAGCTGCTCTAAATCTTGGTTTTACACAATGCTTCCATGTATCCCTTCCTCAGAAGGCATTGATCCCATAGTCCTCTGAGGGGTAAAAGAGAATAGGGAAACTGATTTTCCCTCCATTTCTACTCCCCTATTTTCACGGCTCCACAGAAGAAATCTCCCTTTCCTCCAGCTCCAGGCTGCTTAGCATTACAAAAAAATTGGTCTGTCAGCAACACCTAGAACCACTCTTCCCAGATGGGAGATCACATCTCATCTTTCTCTTCTAGCAAGGGTAGCTTAGAAACCACCTTGTCATGAACCATGCCTCAGGTTCCACTTTGCTTTGAGACAAAAGCTCATTATATTTTGCCTAAGGAAACTCTGGATGTCCTGTGCTCTGAAAGATGGCTTGGGGACCTTATACCTTAAAAAAAAAAAAAGAGAACCCTGCTTAGAGTTCCTAATCTCAGAGATACACACAAGCATATGCTAAAGTCTTGACCAAGGCCATGGAAGGCTACATCTCTTATATATTTACAAGTTTAATATAAAACCATAAGATACACCTGTCCACATACCTTTAGCTTAGAAAGTAATTTTTTCATATTATTTGGATGATATCACAGCCTCTCTTACACAGTGTGGTGAACATGAAAGAATTTCATAGCACTAAGTTTCATAAAATTGTACTTATTCTAGCATGACTTGCATATGGATGCCAGATACATCCACATTTTAATCCTCTGCTATTCCTGGAAACAAAGAGCATGCTCCTTTATCAATTACACTAATCCAAACTAATCTTTTCATGGAATACTTGGCATTAAGAGAAAATATTTATATCCAAAATAAGCAAGATGATCCATTTCTATTCCATACATTGTTTTAGCTTAGTGGGTCCCTTGCATTAGTTTTCCTTAGACTGACATGACTCACAAATGGCTTTTCAAATACAGTTTTCCCATACAGACCTACGTGCACGAATGGACCCCCTAGATGATGTAAGAACTTCAAAGAGGGGACAGAATGATCAGAGAGAAGAGAAATATTTGAAGAGTTGGGAGCAGATAACCTTTTAGGACTGTTCCCACAATTTTGGCAGGTAAATGTGTCTGATAGGAGCACTCCAGTCATGCACAGATAGATGACACATTTGTGTGTGGGCAGAGGATGAAATTGGGTGTGGACTGCGTGCCTCTGCAATGGGTACAGTGATAGGTCTAACTCAGCACCAGAGACACTGAGTCATCTGTTCAGAGCTTAGAGCTCTTCATCATTTTCCCTTTATCACATGGAAAAATCCTGGCTGGATTGCCTGCAAATTTATCCTTGCTGGCTAGGGCCCAATCTGAGAGAAAGACCAACAGACAGCAGGGTTTAGACACACTTGGAAAACTCCCCAAAGTCCAGTGATTCATGTAAAAAGAGATTGCATACCCTCACGATAACACCAAGCACTCAGAACAGTTATTTTGTCTCTTTCATCCTCTTACAGAATGAGCATAGCTGAAAATAAACAGTCTTTTAAGTACCTTAAGTGACACTTGAAGAATTGAACTCAGAGTCAATTGGAAAAACCCAAGCGTCTAACCTGCCGTATGGAAGTATGTAGAAAGAAAGTGATATCTAATTTGCGGCAATAATCACTACGATCACTTCAGATGCTGACAGTGAGTAAACATTTCTATATTCTGAAATCATGCCCAGCATCACTATCACATTATCTTTGGCTTACCTTTTCAACACAAATTGGTAAATTAACTATATGCCAACAAACCCAGTGGCATGATGGTAGACAAGAACTCACTTATCCTCAAAGCAAAAACACAACTGTAGCCAGTCATAACAGCCTGAGCCAAAGAAAACCTCAGGAAATCTTATGAAGAAGTGAAAATATTGCAGAATAATACCACAAACAGGATAGCTGCTGTTGCTTTACTTCTTGTACTATCTCGTAAGACTACGGTGTAAACCTGGTGCATATAAATATTTCTGCTGTAGGAAGCAAGAAAAAATATGTTGTTACTATGTAATTTCCAGATGAAGGTCTTGACCACACATGCTGTCAAGTGAGAAGCATTATAGGAGAGGTATTATATATAGCAGAGGAATTATATTACCTGCACCACTAACAAGAGCGGGGGAAAAAAGGTGGTGCTTACTAGAATAGGTATTGTTTTCAATTCTCCCACCAGCAGATAAAGCATATACATGCTATGGCAAGGGGAGATTGTAGGGGATGAGCAAGCAGAGGAGTGTCTAATTAGCCTCTCTAGTCAAGGAGCAACTGATCGAATATGCCAAGCTCAGGGCTCTAGGCTGGATGTCAAGCCTATCTTTATGTCCAGTCCTTCTCCTTCTGCTGTCACTCAGAAGTGGCTTCAACATCAGTAAAACCTTTTGGATCAGATCCCCTAGATAATGCTAGTATCCAACTCCTGTCTTAACATCTGCCTTTGTAATAATCTTAATTGGTAATCAGATTCTTGGAAAATGATTCGTCTGTTGAAGAAAGTAAAGTTTCTATTAGAGCTTAGAGAGAATAACAGATTATCTACTTCCTGCCTAATGCAGAATTTCTTTTTCTTTTCTCTGAAACAGCTGGAGGCCACCACCATGGGAGACAGGGAACTGAACTGGATGAATTCTGAGTCTAACATAATCACAATTTCTATTCTCCCTAAAAGGCATGATCAAACAATTAATGAGGAGAGTGTACCCTAACTGAGATATAAACTGATCCCAGAAAGTGAATCAAACCTGAAAGTTCACCAGCACAGATTTTCATATTGATACCAAAGATCAATTTGGTCAGAAGGCTCCTAAAACAGAAGTCAAGGTGAATGACTAAAATCGGGATAGACAGGATTCTGCAGCAATCATCAGATAAAATCAGTTAAAAATGTAGTTTGTTACAGAGGTCAGCCAGCCAGCTACATGTCCCAACAGTGGTACCCCAAGAAATGCAAACTCCAGCTGCATGTAAATAGACAGTTCAGTTCTTCACATACACCCTAGCTGCCTCTTATTAGCATGAAGCCTACGTGTATTATCATGGTTTGTAGAGGTCTGACAAGAGAAACCCAAGCAATGTTATCTCAAGGATTCCTTGTGCCCCCCCAGGCGCTCTTTGTGCCCTCCACTGTCTTTGCACAGCAGCTGGACCATAAGCTGACTGCAAAGGGAGCTGCCTTTTGTTCTGTTTGCAGAAAACCTGTGAGTGACGTCAACAATAGGAATAATAAATACAAATGGTATTATGCACACATGCAAACATCCCTGCGGAAAATTCAGCCATAGGGTGAATACCAAAATTTTACTTGTCACTTAGCTATTTATAAAATCAAAGAGGCTTAAAAATAGCAAAAATTACTTATCCTTGCCAAAACCATCTCCCAGAGTGGACAGCCCCAGGGGCTGAGATCTGAGCTCTGATTCAAACAGCAGTGGTACCTCCCCAGCGGGGAATTCCCAAAACAGGAAAAATACCCCAGAACTGACACAAAGCCAGTAGATTTGGCTCCCATGCCAGACTTCCTTCTGCTGTCAAAGCAAGTGTATCATGGTTAAAAAATCTGCTGTGCTGTGGCTATTTCCTGCTGGAGCTGTGGTGGGCTGGGCAGAGACAAGAGGAGCTCAAGGGCTCTGTTGATCATCCCTGGCCCAAGATCAGAAACATGCACCCAGCCCCATCCTCTCCAGTGGCATCCAGCACTGCAAAGCATTGCAGACAAGGTCTTTTATCAGTCCCTACAAGCTTTCTACCACCCTTTCTGCAGTAATGCTTATATGGCATTACTCAGCAGTTTATCTGTTGCTCTGCTGGATGAACCACTCTCCTTGTCACCACTCCCCTCAGAGCCATACCTATGAAGTTATCTTTTGCTTCTAAGGTACGAGAAGCATCCTTTTGGGGTCAGCACCCTGCTGGGGATTATAAGCATGCAAACTGAAGCTTAAAACCAGTCCATGCATTACTGAGTATATTACCCCATCTGCAAGTGATGGGGTAAGCCCTCAGGAGGCGTGATTTTATCTGATATAAAAGTGGGCAGAGAGAGGTCTGCAAGCTGTCCTGGACCAATATAGACCCAGGCTTTAAAAGTCCCATGTGATTAAACAATGACTCATGGCTGATCTCTGCCTTGCCTGTCAACACTCACCACTGCTTTACATCCTTAGCATTGCTAGAGCACAACAGAAGATCACAAAAAAGTAACAGAAGATCACAAAAAGTTTTCAGAAGTGAACAACATTAGTTTATAACACATCATAGCTCACTCAGCCTCTGTACAATACAGAAAATCTTGAGGTAGCAAGTATTTCATGGTTTCTTAAAATAAAATATAAACAGAACTCAAGTATTTTTTTATGCCACCTGTAAAAGAAAAATTAATTGGAGGAGCATAAGCAGAACATTAGCAGGCTATTTTAAAAACCTTCATTGGGTTCTTTTGCACCCAAGTCTATTCAAAAGAGTTCATGTAGACATATGCATATGTAGCAATACTTAGATGCACATATCTACATATGTGTATAAATATGCAGTAGAGCATTCCTCTAGTGTTGCATCCTTTTAATATGGCATCATTTTAAAATCCTTCATGAGCTGAGAGACAGACCCAGCCTTACCTTCTTAATTCCCAGCTTCTCTTCACCTTTTGAAACCGAATCCTCCTTGCTGTCTCTATGGTGACAGTGACGTCCACATCCCCCTGATGAGATGGCTGCTGGTACGCACATCAGGTGCCAGAGCAAATCATTCAGCACTGGAAACCTCTCCAGCTCCTCCATGGGACATAATGCTCTTCTCCAGAACTCAGTCTGACAAACAATCTGGTAAAGAAAACAGTGTTAACCCACCATCTCATGCCTAAAAGAGTGGGAAAATGGGTCTAAATATGGGCTCTAAAACCTTTTTCTATTTTTCTCTTCAATCATAATTACTGCTACTTGGGAAATAAATGTGATAGCACTGCTATTAAAGAGTGTATCTGGATAACCTACACAGAATGAACTAATTAAAGGTAATTTCTCCCAGAGGGTTTGGGACTGAGAAGATATTTGTGTCATGAAGTAGAAGTAGCTGATAAGCAGTGTGATGAAAATCTCCTGCAATGTCCATCCACCTGGCACATGGAACCAGCAGTGACAGAAGAATGCTTCTTGGCTCATGCTTAGTGGAGAGAGGAGCAAGAGAAAAGATTTTTATCAAGTGCTAAGTGAAGAGCAGCAGGTGGGACCTGCAAAGGTGTGCCTTTCAGGCAGCCACAGAAGGTGGTTCCAATGACTTTCTCTCCTTAGGAAAGAAACAGTGAGTCACTGGGGTTACAAAACACCAATTATTATACACAGTCCTTGTTATATTTTATGATTTATATACCTAGCTGTTGAAACACACCCCCACTGTAACATGCTTTCTTGTAGCAACTTACAGGCACAGTGAAGGATATTCAGTTCCCACTAGCTCTTTCCCTCTGGGTACCCAAACTGGGGAAGATGAGTGCCAGGGAAGCAGCTTTGACTTTCTGCCACAGTCCACTGCCAGCACCAGCTAATATTGCACACACTGTAGATGCTCTAGATTGCCTTTATATTTCATTAACCTTTGTAAATTTGTAGCTGAAGGTGTCTGTCACAGCTCTGTGTCACTGCAAACCTCACTCCCCAATCCAAGGGAGGAGTTAAAGGTGTTTGTGGCAGCAGGTCTTGCCCGAAAGATTTAACTGTGCAAGATATTCTGTTGCAATCAGCTCATTTACAGTTCTTCTCTGCTGCAATCCACTCACAATTAACTCTGATAAAGTCATCCACTCAAACTTTAAGGGTCCTATTTGATCCAGATAAATATTTGTAAAATGAAATAAAGACAACGATTAGTCCTGTATTTCCTTAAGTTTCCATGTCCTTCTTCACTGGTCAGAAAAAAAAATACAGTCCATCATTTAAAGATGAAGATTTCAATGGCCCAGCACACTTTAGGTAAAATCCAGAAAAACAACAGTAGGGAAAAAAGCAATAATAGACATAATATATTACTAAAACTTGCATTGCTGTAATGCAGATGAAAAATCTAGTCCCAGACCGAGTTACTGATGTACCATACCTACTCTGTTGAGATTTTTTTCTCTGTGTTTTCTTGGTCTTTTTTTATCTATCACCTCTTTTCTAATACTTGGACTGTAAATGCTTGGGATTAGGAAATGCTTGTTGCTCTGTGTACTGCCCTTCTCATTCTGGGTTGCAGGACCCTGCCTGAGACTTTAGATTTTACAATAATATAAAAGAAAAGCAGTTTGAGATGAAATGCAAGAAAGTCCAAAATGAGACAGTATTACAGGACTTAGTCACATACATAACCCCTGAGAAGTGAGAATTGCATTCCAATGCCTCAATCTGCATAGTTGGTAAGCACTGAGATCATCTTTTCATCCAAAGTTATGGAGTTTCCTATGTATTTTCCACCTCGGGGGAGCACCAGTTATAGGTGCGCTGCAGAAGCCAAAAGATTTACCTTTAAACAATCACAACAGAAGCACAGAAAGAGCTGTCTCTCCTAGTTCACACAGGATTAATTTTGATTTCACACAGATAACAAGATATAAAAAGCATCTCAGTCAAATCACAGGATGCCTAGGTCATTGGACTAAGAAGGGTTGTATATCCTGATGTCAACAGAGTTGCAAAAGTGCTTGTAAGTCCCTTTTCATCAGGGAACTACAGTGAGCCCCAGCAATGCAAGAGGGTGAAGCAGAGGTGATTTTGGCAAGACTATCAGCCAAGGAGTACTGGGAAGACCCAGAAAATCAAGATATAATTTAAAACATTCCTTCTCCAGTCTCCAGAGATGTCTGACAGCAGAAGGTGACCACAGGATGCAGCAGCATCAACATGACAGCACACAGAGCAACTCCTCAGTGAGAGTAGATTGCACTGAAGGTCAGAGTATCACAGAGCACTACAGATCAGAGATCACTCTCCAAGGTCTAATCTGTAGCTCACACTAAAGTTTTGCAGGAAAAGTAGCACCAGAAGTGGACCAGGCCTTAAAGTAGCTAACATGAAAGGTAAACAGAAGTTTTAAACAGAGCACAACAATGGATACCTGTGCATGTAAACCATAAATAGAAAAGGAAATTTCAAGGGGTTTTATATTTAGGCTTATTGAGGCAACAAAGTGATCTTTCAAAGGGGCTTTTTTCTTCCCACTCCACACTGTGTAGAATCCCATGAACTCCCTAAAGACAGCATATACTCCCTATGAACAGCATATACTCCCTTCTCAATCTGCATCCATTTATTATATTTCACAGGTATTTAACATTATATCTAGACTTCATATATCTAAGGAATGTAGATCTCATAACACCACTAATGCACATGGTTAGGCATGACATATTTCATACTGCAACCATTTACACCTTCAAGAGTAATATTTTTATTCTGTGGTCACATCTGTGACTGTGTGACTTCCAGAATTTCCTTGTCTAGGAAATATAAAGCCACCAACCTCCCTTTCCCTCCACCCCCTTTTCCAAAAAAAAGGAAAAACAAAAAAGAGGGGCATAGACGAAAGAGGTAGGAATCCTTTTTGCTCTTGGTGCTACTGAGCCAAATCAGGTTGAGTTTTTTACAGCACAAATTCTCCGGACTTTTGCTGTTTTCATACTTTTAAGCTTCTAACGGCAACTGCTTAATGCATTTCTAATTAGAAATGCACAATAATAATTAAAATAGGGTTTTTTAATATAAAAAGGCTATAATTATGTCTTTTGCTTTGTTTGACAAAACTATGATTTCTACCAAAGCACATGACCAGCCCTGGGGTGGTCTATTCACAGCAAACAATGTATTGTCCTGGGCACACAAGACAGAAAGATGTTGTTTAATTGAGCTTCAGACTTCATTTACTTAACTTTTATGGAAATTACCCATAATAACTTTTAGAGGGCACACCATTATTTCTTCTTTCCTCAACTCAATGTGATTGAAAGTTGACATTATCAGCTTCTTCTTTCCTATGCACTCAGTTACATTCATCACTGAAACACTACAGTCCTCTTTTTAAAAGGGTTAAAAAACCAGAGAGAAGTTGTTTCCTCATTACATCAGATATACAGAAATACACAAAATCCATTGCCAAGTTCCCCAAGAGGCTTCTTTCCTGAAGTCCACTTTTAATTCTTAAGTCAGTAAAAGCTTGCTTGCTCTGTTCCTTGAACCCTGAACCCAGATGTATAATCAAAAGATGGCCAACTCCTTTCCTATAACAGGTAAAAAATTCCATCTCTATAATCAAAGAGCAGTACTTCATCATTTCTTGATAGCTTTGATATCAGGCATAATATTATGATGCTAATTAATTATTTTCACCATTCTCAGGGTCAGAAATCTTTTAAAGTGCCCATCAAAAGCTGCTTAGACTACTCTGGCTCAAAGTCACTTTAAAGCAGTTAAGTCTGAAAACATCATTTCAATAAGAGTCTGAATACTTGTGTTGTTGAGCTTATCTGTTTGAACAAGTCCCGGTGGTTTTTATGCTGTGTTGCACAACTGCACAGAAAACTAGTCAAGATACACAAACAGGAGTCTCTCAGCTTTTTAGTGAATAGTCCATTTTCATGGAACTTAAGAGCCAAGTGAGATGGGGTGAGTGGTGACGAGATGAGTTGGCATGCCGAGGGGAGCAGCTCACCAAGAAGGACATCAAGATCTGTTTGCTCCATTTCTCTGGAGACTCTACCAGTTCCTGAAATCACTCTAAAACTGTTCTCACATCCTCCAGCTGCCCACCATCTTTATGCTTGCAAACTTATTCTGCAACTGTTGTGTCCTGTACCTGGGCAGGACGATTGCGCATCACATCTCCCTTGAGCAGAAGACGAGTTGGTTGTGTCCATCCCATCCAACAGCCGTGCTCCCCTCAGTTTGAGTCTGCAGAGCCAGGACACCTAAGACAGCCTGTGTTCATCCCACCTGCAGCAACACAAGTCCACTTTGATGTGCTCTCTCCAGCAACGCCTGTGTCTTTCTGTCAGTAAAGTACATTTGCTCACTTTAGCCAGGAGTTGGCATGAAAACCAGCGTGTAACCAAGACGGATATTCAGAGACTTAGCGGCTCAAGCCTATGCTTCGATTCTGAGTCAATATGATGACATGGATCATCCACAGCTTCCAGTGTCATGATCACTGTCATTGTTCACCAGTGGTTTGATATCTGTCAAGTGTGTCTGTATTTCACAGAACAAACTCAGAACAAGCACATGTAACCACACAATTATGCCTGCCCATAAGGAGTCAGATGTAACACATTTTCCCATTCCACTATTATTGAAGAAACATTTCATTTTCAGTTGTGTTTTCAGAAGGCTAACAAGGGACTCATGAATACATCAAAGCAAAATCATATTATTCATTTACAACAAATGTTTCTGATTACATTTCCTCTGACCATTCAGACAACACTTTAGTAAAAAGCTAGAAAAAAAAAAAACTGAGTGTTTTTCATGAATACCTCTCATAACCCCAGGTCCTGATCTATTTGCACAACACAATTTGCAGAACATCCATAGAACGTGAAATGAAGCCCAGGTACCAGCTCTGCAAACCTGAGGTCTACCAGAAAACCGTCTTCCAGCTGAGATGGAGCCACCTCCAGCAAATGCAATCAGCTATGA